GAAACACTGCTGATGCTTCTTCTAGAAAGAGTACAGGACAGAAAGCAGCTCAGACTTCCTTGTCGATGGTCGATGCGTTCAACAGGCCAGTCAAATTGTAGCTTCCTACACCCTTACTCCCTGCTGTCTGTCGGTTCCACTGTGAACAGTTTATTCGAGGGAGGAGTTGGAATCACTGCACTCTCTGTGGCACTGAGTGCGATTTGTCTTCAGCAGTTAGAGTAGGCCAGCGAAATGAGAATTTATCTGAATGGATCTGACGGAGTATAATGGAAATGTAGCACTGTGTCAGAAACATTGAGCTGTGGCTTCACATGTTCTTCCACCCCTCCGCACCGCCCGCCGCCCCCACCCCCCGACTCTCTCGGCCACACAAACAGCAGTGAACATGAGACTGGGCTCCATGTCAGTGCTATCAGTGATCATCTCCCCCCCAAATGCACTGTTTCCCACTGGTCTCCTCCAGAAGTCCCATTGTCAGATGAGGCAGCTGCTCAAACCTTGACAAGATTTTCCTCTGTCGCCTCCCTTCCTCATTTACTGAGCCCAGCTGAATAAAGAAAGCTGTCTTTTTTCTGATCTGCACAGCTCTGCGATGTGACCACTTTTATCTGTTTACTGAAGATAGCTTCAATACTGTTGACTGTAATAAAATTCATTATATTCATGGCTGTTCAACTTTCTGCTTTAAGCAACTATGTTCTGGCATTTCTTTGCACTTCTTGATGCCTGATTTAATAGAACAAATAGGTAAAAGTAGAAATAATAAAATAAATTGCATATCTGAAGCACGTTACGTGACCTCAGCATAATCCCAAGTTAGTGAAGCCAGTGAAGTGTTTCTATAAAATGTAGTCTCTGTTAACTTTGTGCTGAATAGATGTGACTGGGAATGTATTCCAGACAGCAGTGCGGGCATGTTTCAGCACCTTGCTAACTGAAAGCTAGGATTTAAACCATTCCTTCCCGATCTGTATCTCACCATGACCCCATTCTGCTGCTTCAAAACAGACATAGCTTTGTAGTAAGGAGGGGGGGAGGGAAATGTAAGCGTTCAGTCAACTGGGGGTGGGGTGGGGTGGTGGAGGGGCAGTTGTGAGGGGGAGGGGGGCACTTGAATGTTGCCGTCTTGTTTTGAAAGCTACGAACTTTGACCAATGCGATCCCTGCAAACTGAGAGAATTTCTCACAGAACTCCTGAATCCCAAAACCCCTCACCCTCGCCCCCAGCCCCCACACCCTTGCCCCCTCATTGACCTCTTTCTCACAGATCTCCTGATGGCCAACACTCTCCAACCCTCACTCCTGCCCCCTCACCCCCTCGCTGACCTCTCTCACAGTTTCGTTTTTTTTAAGGGCACAATCTGAAGAAAAAAAATTCCATTCTTCCATTATGGATGTGAAGAAATCACAGGGTAGGCTCTCCTCTCCATTACCTGGAAAGTGAATTGGAGAGGTGATGGCCTAGTGGCATAATCACTGGACTGTTAATCCAGGGAATGTCCTGGGACCCAGGTTTTGAATCCTGCTGTGGCAGATGGTGGAATTTGAATTCAATAAAAAAATCTGGAATTAAGAATCTAATGATGACAGTGAAATCATTGTCGATTGTTAGGAAAACCCATCTGGTTCACCAGTGTCCTTTAGCGAAGGATACTACCATCCTCAAATGGTCTGGCCTACATGTGACTCCAGGCCCACAGCAATGTGGTTGACTCATAACTGCCCTCTTGGCAATTAGAGATGGGTAATAAATGCTGGATTAGTCCTCATCCCGTGAATGAATTAAATAAAGCCCATTCGACCCATTGTGGATGTTCTAGCTGTCTGAAAGAGTAAATTCTCTACCCTGCTTCTAGGCCGTTTCTCTGCAGCTATTGATCCAATTTCTTTTTGTATGTTAGTGTCAAATCTGCTTCCAGCATCTTTGGCGGTATGTTCCAGAACATTGTAATTCACTGTAATATAAAAATAATTCTCCTAATCTTCCCTCTGATATCTTTGCCAATTCGTTTACATCTGGCCACCAAACATTCTTTCACTGGGAATAGTTTTACCTGACCTACTTTGACAGAATGGTTCATAACTTTGACCAACCTAGTTAAATCTGTACTTAACCTTGTTAATGTTTCGAGTCCAGTGACCTTTGTCAGAGGGGATGCCAGTTTAAGACTGAGACGAGGAGGAATTTCTTCTCTGAGAGGGTTGAAAGTCTTTGGAACTCCATGCCACAGAGAAATATGGGGGCAGAGTCCTTGTGTATATTTAAGGCTGAGGTGCTTGATTGGTAGGGGAATCAGGAGTTCCAGAGAAAATGCTGGAAAGTGAACATGAGGAATGCCAAATCAGCCTTGATTCTGTTGAATGACTCAGGAGGCTCAGGGCTGAACAGCCTACTCCTCCTCCTATTTCTTATCGTCTAATGGACTCAAAACATTAACTCTGTTCCTGTCTCTACAGAAGCTGCCAGACCTGCTGAATTTCTCCAGCATTTTCTGGTTTGTGTTGCAGATTTCCCGCATCTGCAGTTCTTTGCTTTATAGCAATGCACTTAACCTTTGCTGTTATAGAACTTGCTGCTTGTATTGTATTGCATTCAGTGGAATGGTGATTAAGGTCATGTTCCTTGAGGGTATAATTGAAGGGCTGCATGCGCTGAGTTGTCTTTCAGAATAATCCTTTCTAATCAAAGCCTTGAACTCTTGCAGGATCACGGTATCCCGATCGACATGGGTTATGCAGTGGCACCACATCATTCAGGGGTATATCCAGTTCACAAGCAGCTATATGAAGCCTGGAAATCCATCTGGGGAATTCGAGTCACCAGTACTGAGGAGTATCCCCACTTGAAGCCTGCTCGATATCGCAGAGGGTTCATTCACAATGGTATCATGGTGAGTACCCCATCTCTGAGAGTTGAATGTGGTTGTGGTTTCCACCCATAGATATCTGAGTCGTTTGCTGAGTGCTGTGGATCAACAGCTACATGGTGGCTTAGTGGTTAGCACAGCGCCAGGCACCCAGGTTCGATTCCACCCTTGGGCGACTGTCTCTGTGGAGTTTGCACATTCTCCCTGTGTCTGCGTGGGTTTCCTCTGGGTGCTCTGGTTCCCTCCCGCAGTCCAAAGATGTGCAGGTTAGGGTGGATTGGCCATGCTAAATTGCCCTGTAGTGTCCAGGGATGTGTATGGGGGGATACTCTAAGGGTCAGTATGGACTGGTTGGGCCAAAGGGCCTGTTTCCACACTGTAGGGATTCTAAGAACAGCTGTCTTTTAAAACTCTCTCTTCCCCTCTCAACGAGAGATTTTTGTCTATTATTGTTGCTCCCAGTGGCTGCCGTTGGAATTGCTCAATCTTAGAAATTATGTGAAAAAAAGACTTGCATTTGGAAAAACAATGACAGGACATCTCCCAAATGCTTTACAGCCGATGATATACAAGTGTAATGACTGTTGTTGTGTAGGAGCTGCAGCATCCAATTTGCACAGAGCGAGTTCCCACAATATAAAATCGTGAGTGGTATAGATAAGATGAATGGTAGGTGTCTTTTCCCTAGGGTGGGGGATTTCAAGACGAAGGGGGCATACTTACAAGGTGAGAGGAGAAAGATTTAGAAATAACCCGAGGGGCAACTTTTTTTTTTTACATAGAGTGGTCATGTGTGGAATGTACTACCAGAGGAAGTGGTGGATGAGGGTACAGTTACACCGTTTAAAAGACATTTGGATAAGTACATGAGTAAGAAATGTTTGGAGGGATATGGGCCAAATGCAGGCAGATGGGACTAGTTTAGTTTGGGATTATGGTTGGCGGGACAAAAGGGTCTGCTTCCGTGCTGTATGGCTCTGTGATAGGATAATCTGTTTCATATAAGTTAGTTCAGAGGAGAATGTCGATGAGGTCACCACCTCAACTCATCTTCAGTTTCGTGACTCCGCTGAAAGACAGCACTTCCTTTGATTGTGCAGCACTCCAGCATTGCAGTGAAATTCACACCAAAGTATCAGGTCAAATCTCTAGAGTGGGACTTGAACCCTTGACCTTCTTATTCGGGGTTTGAAACAAACACAGAAAATGCTGGATGAACTCAATAGGTCTGGCAGCACCTGTGGGTGGAGAGAGAGAGAGAGATAACATTTCAAATCCAAAATGGCTCTGCTTCCAAACAGACGGTGGTAGAACTTGAGAACTGGCAGTTCTGAAGAAGAGTGAGGCAGGAGTTGAAACATTAACACTCTCTTTTTCTCTCTCTCTTTCTGCACCACACCCCTGCAATATATTTCCAAACAGATACACTGCAGAAATTCACCAAAGAAGCTTCTTTAACACCTTCTAAACCCACAACCACTTCCATCTAGAAGGACAAGGGCAGCAAATATGTGGGAACGCTGCCCCCGCAAGTTCCTGACTTGGAAATCTATCTCCGTTCCTTCAATGTCGCTGGGTCAGAGTCTTGAAATTCCCTCCCTAAGGGCATTGTGGGTCAACCTTCAACACATGGGCTCCAGTGGTTCACAATGGCAACTCACAACCACCTTCTCAAGGGCAACTAGTGCAATAAATGCTGACAGGTTAGTGATAGCCACGTCCCACAAGTGAATACAAAAGAAAACAAAGGATAGAAATTGCATGCAAGGGTATGGGAAAAAGAGGGAGATTGGTACAAAGTAATGATGCTGGTTTGCAGAGCTGTTGTAGAAATAGCTTCCTGTGCACAGACTTGATGGACTGAACTGGGCAGCTTCAGCGCCGTATCATTCTGTGACTCTGCAATTATTGAGAAACCATAAATTATAGCTACACATAGCAGAATGAATTCCATTTTAGAGTCAGGCCCTTTGGCCCATTGTGTCTGCACCCCCAGGTTATTGACCTCTCTCTACTAAGGGGAAATGTTTTTTCCTATTTACACTATCTGTGCCCCTCAGTACTTTGGATATCATAACCAGCCTTCTCTGCTCTAAGGAAAATAACCCTAGCCTTTTTAGTCTGTCTGACGTGCTCCTGCCCAGGTAACATCCTGGCGAATCTCCTTTGCACCATCTCCTGTACAATCACATCCATTATCAATCACAGTGAGGCAGTTAGAACTGTACACAGTCCTCCAACTCTAACGTTATTTTCAACTCTAATCCTGTTGATTTTTTTGTATAGAATCTGAAGTGCAGAAGGGAATAATTGAATGTTTGCCAAGGGATTTTAATTTCAATCTTTTATTTGGGGGTATGGATAATGCTGTCAAACATTTAGGAGTTTTTCACACTTTCAATTTCAAAATTGACACAGTCTTTCACAGGTGTTCATGTACAGCAAAACTGAAAAGTGTCACTCATCAAGTAACCTGTACTGTAGCAATCTGAGTTTCCTCAAGACATCTGACCTCTTGAAAGGTTTTTTCAGTCCGGATTCCACGATGGAAAATGGGTTGCAAGTTCAGTGCTTTCTTGCACAATGGAAAATGTGCCACAACAACTTTCTGTACACAGAAACAAACTGATGTTGATGATAACTTGACAAATGATTTTTCTCTCTCTCGCCCTCACCACGTCATCCAGGTTCTGCCTCGTCAAACCTGTGGACTATTCACACACACGATCTTTTATAACGAGTATCCAGGAGGATCCAAGGAGCTGGACAAAAGTATTCGGGGCGGTGAGCTCTTCCTGACAGTGCTCCTGAATCCCGTAAGTAAGATTTCAAGGAGATATCACTGTGGGAATGCTTCCATACACAGCAATGAGATACAGTTAGAACAGACTGTTACTTGTTATATGGTCACTTTAATTAAAATGACAACAGCAGCCTGAAACTTTGAAATAAAAGGAGAATACTGCAGATGCTGGAAATCTAAAACAAACACAGAAAATGCTGATGAACTCAAGGTCTGGCGGCATCTGTGGGTGGAGAGAGAGAGAGAGAGAGGAGAGAGAGGGAGGGAGAGAGACAGGGAGAGAGGGAGAGAGAGATAACGTTCCAAATCTGAAATGGCTCTTCTTCCGAACAGACGGTGGTAGAACTTGAGAACTGGCAGTTCTGAAGGAGAGAGAGACAGGAAGTTGCAACATTAACACTCTCTCTATCTCTATCTCTCTCGTCTCTCCTCTCTCCTCTCTCTCTCTCTCTTTCTCTCTCTCTCTCTCTCTCTTTCTCTCTCTCTCTCTTTCTCTCTGCTCTCTTCTCTCTGCTCTCTGCTCTCTGCTCTCTGCTCTCTGCTCTCTGCTCTCTGCTCTCTGCTCTCTGCTCTCTGCTCTCTCCTCTCTCCTCTCTCCTCTCTCCTCTCTCCTCTCTCCTCTCTCCTGTCTCCTGTCTCCTGTCTCCTGTCTCCTCTCTCTGTCTCTCTCCTCTCTCCCTCTCTCTCCTCTCTCCCCTCTCTCCTCTCTCCCTCTCTCCCTCCCCACAGGTGCTGCCGGGTTCTTCCAGCATGTTCTGTGTTTGTTTCAGATTTCCAGTATCTGCAGTATTTTGCTTTTACTTCAAAGTTTGCAGACTGCCATTTCCTTGCTGTTCCATTAGTAGCTGGCTCTTTTGCAGCTCTGAAAGTCCACACAATTTCAGCTCAGCATTTTCAATACCACCTTTGATTTGTTCTGATGGCTTCACAAACTGAAGACAAAGAAGCTTGCAGCGCTGATTACATGACTGTGGAAGCCAGAGGATAACCCTGCAATGTGGTTGATGTTTAACTTCTGTCTGAACTGGCCTCTCAACCACTCAGTTCAACGGCATTAGGGGTGGGTGACAAATACTAGCCTTAATAATGTTGCTGGTAGGAACAACGTTTGTCACCTGTCCTAATTTTCTTTGAATTGATTGGCTTTTTAAGCCATTTCAGATGGTTGATGCGGGTCTGGAGTCACATATAGGCCTGACTAGTTAAGAATAGCAGATTTCCTTCCCTAAAGGAAATCAGTGAATCAAATGGG